GAGACATACAATCCACAGCAACCAGGAGATATTTAAAATCTTTGTTGTATTTCGCAAGTTTATCAACATATGCTAAATCAACTGACCATATTTCGTCTATGTCATAGACTATTGCTTTTAACCGAGGTATTTTTCGACAAACTGCTCGATATTTTGTGTATGAGGGCTCTGAGTGTAAAAAATGTCTAACTTTCCGTCGTGGTAGTTTGGTTTCGTCCTTCAAGTTCTTCACACTTCCAAACAGAGCTGCCCCTCTAGATGTGTACTTTTTTTTCATATTTTCTCTTCAGCTGGTGTAGGTTTGCCATCTCTTCGTTTTTGTATCCGTCGTTTCTGTCGCTGAAGTATCCGAATCGTAATAGGGCGTTCCGTACGAATCAGAGTCTTCTGGGTAGTCTTCTTTTTTACCTCTTTGATATAAGCTTGTACTTTTGGTGCCTCTGCGTTTTTTGACTGTTTTTGAGCTTGAGGATGGGCTGTTGGTACTGTCAACACTTGTTGGTTGTTTGGTGGGACTTTTGATTTTTGCTGTAGTAGCAATAGCTGACTTGATCCTTAGCCAATCAAAACCGTTGAATTTCACAAACTCAATGTTAATATTGTGAGACTTCCCTTTTTCACTGTACCTCGGTTGACTTTCTGTGTAAAAGAAGATTGCTCTTTTACACCTTGGATAAAATGTTTTTCCTTTCAAAAGTTTGAATATTAACTGTTTTTCCGGATACTGAAGGTCCAACAACTGCCATAAACACTCGCGTTGACGTATCAACAATTTTATTCATATCCGAGGATTTGGTAGTACGTAGCCAACTAAACCGGACAGGATTGAGAACCAAACTGATGTTTCCTCACAGCTTAGTTTCGTCAAAGAGAGTTTGTAGATACAGAAAATCAATAAAATTAAAATCATTTGAGACATGAAAAACACTTCAGATCTCGGTACGGTTACATTATTACAAAATTTCCAAGGTTTTCGCTCAACACTGTCATTTTTTTCCTCATAAACAAAATCAGTAATGATAGTTGCATCAGGTTCATCAACTGCTATTTCAGACATTTTGTTCAAAATGAAAAAAAAATGTGGTTAAAAAAATTATTTATTCTTCTGAACAGTAATAAATCTCATATCGTGTATAACTTGTACAGACATTACTATCACTATCATCCTCATCATCATCATACATTTGCAAAACATAGTTAGCAGGAACATTTTCAGTTTTTGCATGAAACATAATTTTTTTTCACAGAGTCCTCTTTCACTTTCTGTTGAATTTCTTTGGGTAGCTCACTGCTGGTTAGATCCAATTGAACTCTGGGTTGACGATGTTTGGGTACTAATACCAGCTTGGGAAGGCAGACTCCTCGCTTGCTGGCTAACATTTCCAATATATTTGAATCGCTGGAAATGGATGAACTGATCAATCACGGGAAAAAATCTTCGCAGAGTAGTCAATTCTTCTTCAGATAGAACAACTTGCTCTTTTCGTTGCACAATTTGGCCTCTGCAGTCAACGCGCTTTATTCGGGTCAATGAAAATTTAATAACTCTCTGGGGTCATCCAAGCACAAAGAACTGAATTTGGAGATAGATATGTCTCCACTTTGGCTAATCTCTCCGTGTTGATCATCGTCATTATTTTTCAACCAATCAAAAAAGGCTTTGGATTTTTTTTAGAGCACAATGATTTTTGGAGTTGTAATGAGGTATATGTTTGCAGCAGTTCGAAAATTTGTTGTATTGTAAGTTTTCAAGTCTTGGACAACCCAAATCATCAAGATTCTCTACTCAGCGGTCTAAATATTGGGCTAAGTAGTCTGCCTTTTCCTTTCCCTTAGCGTAGAATGTAGCTCCGGGATTCCTCAATACAACACTTTGGATAATTGGGTTGAGATTTAAATATAGGTAATCACCACTATCGCAATGAAGTCCATGCAAGTAATTCGTTAGCCAGGTGTACGCTTTTTGCTCGAGTTTTGGAAGGGAATTAAAACTGACTGGTGGTAGAAAAATTAGGGAGTCGCTGTAGTCAGCGGTTGTGATTGCTAATTCTTTTAAAATAAAAGTGTTTTTCTTGTATCGAAATCCTTCCAAATCCAACACGACTGATCTTTCACTCAGCATTCTAACAAATGATAGAGTTTTGGTTTCCTCAATTTGATATATGAACAAAACGTGATACCGCTCAAGTGACCAATCAGGCTGTTGTTACATTTCCACGGTAAAACATAGCAGTATGTGGGACCAGTATTGTAAACTTCACGAACAAAACCGGCGGCATCATGTAAAACAGCATGCATTCGTAAAATTTTTGAATCACTTAAATATTTGTCTAACGAAGAATTTTCTATCCCGATCAGTCCACCATAAGGTCTCAGCTTGATAGCAACATCGTAGATTATATCGTTAGTCGAGAAGAAGAATAAGGAACATGCAGCTAAGAAATAATTCCGACGGTTGGTGTTTTCTGGGTACGTTTTTTTTAAAGTATAAAAATATCTCATCCGTCGTTTCTGTCGCTGAAGTATCCGAATCGTAATAGGGCGTTCCGTACGAATCAGAGTCTTCTGGGTAGTCTTCTTTTTTACCTCTTTGATATAAGCTTGTACTTTTGGTGCCTCTGCGTTTTTTGACCGTTTTTGAGCTTGAGGATGGGCTGTTGGTACTGTCAACACTTGTTGGTTTTTTGGTGGGACTTTTGATTTTTGCTGTAGTAGCAATAGCTGACTTGATCCTTAGCCCATCAAAACCGTTGAATTTCACAAACTCAATGTTAATATTGTGAGACTTCCCTTTTTCACTGTACATCGGTTGACTTTCTGTGTAAAAGAAGATTGCTCTTTTAAACCTTGGATAAAATGTTTTTTCTTTCAAAAGTTTGAATATTAACTCTGTTTTTCCGGATACTGAAGGTCCAACAACTGCCATAAACACTCGCGTTGACGTATCAACAATTTTATTCATATCCGAGGATTTGGTAGTACGTAGCCAACTAAACCGGACAGGATTGAGAACCAAACTGATGTTTCCTCACAGCTTAGTTTCGTCAAAGAGAGTTTGTAGATACAGAAAATCAATAAAATTAAAATTAAAATCATTTGAGACATGAAAAACACTTCAGATCTCGGTACGGTTACATTATTACAAAATTTCCAAGGTTTTCGCTCAACACTGTCATTATTTTCCTCATAAACAAAATCAGTAATGATAGTTGCATCAGGTTCATCAACTGCTATTTCAGACATTTTGTTCAAAATGAAAAAAAAATGTGGTTAAAAAATTATTTATTCTTCTGAACAGTAATAAATCTCATATCGAGTATAACTTGTACAGACATTACTATCACTATCATCCTCATCATCATACATTTGCAAAACATAGTTAGCAGGAATTTTCAATTTTTGAATCACTTAAATATTTGTCTAACGAAGAATTTTCTATCCCGAGCAGTCCACCATAAGGTCTCAGCTTGATAGCAACATCGTAGATTATATCGTTAGTAGTCGAGAAGAAGAATAAGGAACATGCAGCTAAGAAATAATTCCGACGGTTGGTGTTTTCTGGGTACGTTTTTTTTAAGTAATAAATATCTCATGGATATCTTCCAAGTCCGTTGAAGTTACAGTTCGTTTTTCCGATTTCATTTTTAATTTTTACTAGCACTTCTCCGACCTGCTTAATTTCAAGCCAATGGAAATAAAAGTAACCTTCCAGATACCACTTACTTAGACCTTTATCTCGATGGTATGTATTTAGATAAACTACCGGAAGTTTTTGATACTTTGAAAGTTTATTAAAACAAAGTCGTATTTTTCGCTCCAGCTCTTTCAACCATCATTGAGTTGAAATCAAATGAATAATCAAAGATATTTTCATAGGTAGCAAAGGTCAAATCAGTTGATTTTCCATATTTCTGTTTTGCATACATACACCACGTTATTTGTAAAAGCTCATCCAGAAAAAACTGTTCTTTACAACTTTCTGCATATTCTCTATTTGCAATTTCTTTGGCTCTCGACACGAAAATTATATGACGATTGTGAATGTATTCGTTTTTTATTTGACACCCAGTGAAAGATAAATGCTCCGAATCAATGTCACTTGTATGCCAACTTCCCATTAAGTTCATTTTTCGCAATTCATTAATCCACAATTTTACCATTATTTTCTATTACGTTATCGTCTAGACGTAACAGCGACGACTGAAATCGGATTGCAACCTTGGTGAGTAATTATGGTTTACATACGTTTCAGTGTTAATATATTTAAATCATGGAAATACTCTACAGCATTCAATAGACCGTTAAAACTATGCTGGCCAAAGCTATACTTGCTTTGTTTTATTACCCACTCCAAAAGTATGGCAGCATTCCAAGTCGAACGTACCAAACGGCGAAAGAATGCTAATTTATGCTTTTTCTAAACATAAATCGGGTGAAAATTTTTTTAAGGATCCTACTTTGATTATCCGCCAGGGATCTAGAAATTTGCTACATGGGTATATGACTCTTGGTAAAATCCTCAGGGGGGAGGCCACCCAAAAATTTGGATCCTCAAGTGAGGATCTTGTAATCCACCAGCAAAATGCCGGCTGACTACAAGATAATTTTGGACCCCTTAGGTGTCGAATCTTAGGCGCCCACGTCTTATTTTATTTTAGGTGATTTTGCCCCCCCCCCCTAAGGATCCCTGGCGGCCCCTCATACTACTTATATAAGAGTCTTCACTACGTTTATTACTCTTAGAAAGTTTCCCCAGGGTTTCACTTTTCCATGACTTTAGGATATCGTTTTCAAATTCATGTCATTTTACAAAATTCAAAAACCCATAGCATTGTGTAGAAACTAGGGGGAAAAAATTTGATGCTCAAACTACGTGAGCCCACGCTTCACTTTAAATTTGAACAAAAATGAGAGATTTAAATGAGTTTTTGGGTGATGCTATAGGATGTTGGTTGATTAGAAATTTTGGGTCATTCGATCTGAATATCACTCATGCTCACTTGATTATTCCCTGAGACATGGCTATATTTCATCCGGTGCTCATTCCACATATTCATAAGTAGTTTCTCCTCATACGTGACGTCACAGAACTCTTCCACCAATCTTCTCTGGTGCATTTGTTGCCAGTTCACATTTGCTTCTTCCTCGTCCGAATCTGTTGTTTGCTGATACGCTGGCAAGTACATACCTGTTGCAATGAAATTCATAAATAACTTCGGACAACCGGAAAACGCTCTTTTGGAAATTTGAAATCGAATCGGTCGAGAGAGGCGGAGGCGAGAGCATACAACCACACCACCACCCCACACACACTCACACACGCACGCACACACACACCCACACACACCCGCCACATTTCTGGTACCTCAAATTTCGGAAGCGTCCCTTCGCTCCTATGTGCGATATCCATTCCCAATTCACCAATCAAGTTTTTAGGCTTCTTTCGAATCACAAAAAAAACGAGCTGGTCTTAAGATTTATCTCAGCAATGACGCATCCACGACTCGGATCGGGCAAAACTCGATATGAAATATTTCAAACCTATCAACCTGAGAGAAGCTGCTACCGGCCATATACAAAACACCCGACTTACTCCAAAATTCTTGAAACTCACAGCAGATCAAAAAGAATATTTCAGCAAACACTGCAGCGCAAATATTTCAGCACGATAATGAGCCTCCCAATGGAAATATAAAAAGTGAGAAGTGGGGGAAAAGCATGCCCCTAACTAAATCAGGAGCTACCGACCAATTACTCTGTTCTCGCAGGTAAAAAAAAACGCGTAGTGTTAACTACAAACTGCCTTTACTATGAATGAAAATGATTCAAACACACTAAAACGGCTTTAGAAAATCTCAATCTATATCAAAGCTGTTATCTACAACAAGACCAAACACTGTAAAAGAACATACTTCGCCGCTATAGACTTGACATCAGGCTTAGATACTATCTATTCGATGATATAGCCAGCTCGAATTCCTCTAAAAGTGAATCTGAAGTAGACATAACCAAGCTCGAACGCAAAAAGGTGAGACAATATCTCCCAAAAAGTGGCGCTTGTCGATTGCTTCTAAGAAATCAGGTCCGATTAATAATGTTAACTACAAAGGGTTCATTTGCTTATCGATAACCAGGAAAGCATCCCTAAGCAGGAATATGATAGAAGGAATTAAAACCTCCATACTTCAGCAATCAAGAGAAGCGAAGCATGACAAAAAAGCTGACAGAAATTGAGAAAAACCACGAAAAAAAACTAGATCTACTAATATTTTCGTATCTTTGTCTCAATTTTTTCTGAATACAGCCAGACAAAACAATTAAAACATAAATTTGCATCCAAATATAACATACGAAAAGGTAACGAAGCCGCTATTTGTTGACCACATACCCGTTGACCCAAAAAACATCTTTAATAAATATGAATTAACCTCTGAAAACACTCAAGCGCATAGGAAACTTAATTCGCTCATCCACCGACGCAATATGATGCCACAAAGCTGATTAGGCAAACACCGCATTTGTAAGCCGAATTCACAAAAAAAGGAAATTTATACCGAGCCGCAGTTGGTAATTTTGAAACTAACATTGAAAGCAAATATTGAAGAGAGGGTATTTGAAATGCAGACATCCTCAAATTATGTCTGTTGGTTAACAAAAGTGCAGATTTGAGAAAATGACTCAGATAATTTGCTGGACAAGTTGTTTACAGCACAAGTTATTTATAAGAATAAGTCTACGTTCCGATTTGATAACGCCTACTACTTACAAGCATAACAAGACTGCTCGTATCAGGGCGAAGCCCTGAATGTTCCGACTGCCTTTTAAGGTTTATGGAGCAGCAGTAATAACATAATAAATTAAATGAAAAAAAAATAAAATGAAAATTTTTTTTTTCCAAAATTTGAAATTTTTTATGAAAATCATCCCCCCACACGCCATATAAAGTTTAAAAAGATAGATTTCGTTCCTTGTAACAAATCAATTATGGCAAATAAGCTTCGTTCAACCAATTTGAACGAGTTATAAGACGGATTATATCTCCGCTTACGCGTTAATAGCGCGAATTATATCGCGCGTTAATTGTCCCAAGTTGGTAGAAATGGCCAAAGTGGCAATCTTTAAACCCTCATAACTTTACGCAAAATGATCACAGGTGAAATATCTTTTCAAATTTAAGTTCAGGAGAACAATGGCTTTCGAATGATGTTAAAAAAATCCGTCAAAAATGGCTAGTTAAAAAGTCGAAATTTGTCTGAAGAAAAAACCCACCCCGAGCAAATATTCCGTTACTTTCGTATCGAAAGTCGGAAAAATAATCGCATGCGTAATAATTACGTACACACTATCTGACTGAGCAAAATTCAGACAATTAACATTTTGTTTTATAATTTTAACAATTTTTATTTGAAATTTTTCAAAAAAAAAAAATCCGAAAAAAACTGAATTACCTCTACCAATGAAGCTAAATAAATGGCATTCAGAAAAATAGAAGAAATCTGAACTTTCAAAAAAAAAAGTTCATGCTCATATAACTAAGCCGGAATTAATAAACAGACGGACGATAGTCCGGAAAGCAGAAAAATATTTTTTTTTGCAAAAAACAGGTACCGGTCGGATTCGAACTACAAGCCTTTCTTGCAAAATCTTGTGAGCAAAGTTCTTTACGGAAAAATGTCTAGTACCCGGTTGTAACTAACACCCTTGCTTATCGCAGGGGTAAAAATGTTTAAGCAAAAGATAAAACCAGTATGGCAGAAAAACATCACCAAAATCAGCAAGGCAACATATAAGCTGCGAAATTTTAAAAACTTTTTTTTAACTGAACAAGAGCCTGCCGAAGTATTATCTGCGTAGATGACTTTCTGGTTTTCGTTCTAATTACTGCCGATTAAAATGCTCAGTTTAAAAGATTTTGACATAAACTCATTCTTGTATGTTGAAATTCTTTCGAATGGCAAATTCTTTCGATTGGCAATCATTCGTTGAGCAATTTACGAAACCTGTAGTAATAAATGTTTCAGTAGTAATTAAAGTAATTAATGCAGTAGTAATTAATGTTTCACAATTAAGAAAGCTCAATTTGTAATTTATAAATTTATAAGAAAAGTTGTTCAAGGGAAAAAGTATAACTGACGATTGCAAGACCCTTGACCTCTTTCAACAGCTTTAAATGCAGGATAGTAAAGGGAGAAGAGGCATAGGGTAAAGAAAAACACGAGGGAAACTTTTTTTCAAAAAAATAGCTATTTTTTTATAAAGCTTTTAAAATTTAATCTACCATGGTTATTTGGTCCAGTAGTAAAATTATTGACTGGAGCTCCCTAAAAGGGGGTTCGAATCTCGTTTATGTATTATGATTTTATATATTAGGATTATAAATAAATTCGTAATTAGTTTAATTATTGCTGTTCAAATCTCATGTTGCAAAAGATAGACTTAGAGAAGATCAACTGATCTCGTTATCTACCCTTTGCAAGTCGATAACTATGTCTGGAAATTGTTTTTGTTATCAGATTACTTTGACTTGAAGGAACTTATTTTCCTTCGTTTATGAACTTAACGACAACATGTTAGATACGAGTAGACCAATTCCTCTGCAATTTATTTTTTTTCAGAGAAAGCGCTTCAGATGTCATTTACTCAGCAAAAATAGCAATTCATAAATTTGGGTAATAAAGTAGGTCAAGCTTACAAAATCTACCACTTAATAATACTTTAGCTGAATCCGAATTCGGTTTTTTTTTGCGATTAGCGATTCCAGCGAATTAGTTTTTTGCGATTAGAGGTTCAAATTAACGATGCCAGAAGCGTGATTCAAACTATTTCAAAATAACCGACCTGTTTTACTATTGGCGAAATCCACATTAGTTGTCAGCATATTTCCATTTCTCTCAAACACTGCACAAGACAACCTTAGCGCCGTTTCCGCGTCTACTGTTTCGGAGCCTTTATTTTTCCTTTTGATGAAGACGAAATTCTTCCCCTCGACCTTTTGATTAGGTCGACAATCCGCCAAATTTACCAAAATAAGTGCACTAGTTGTTGAACTACCTGATTTTTCGAATATGTACGATTGATGGAAAGTGGAATAGTGTAACAAAAGGTTGTCAATGGAATATTGCTCTTTTTTGCACCAAATACACGAGATTACGCCCGAGTCTAAGTAGAAAGTTTTGCAACCTATTACAAATACGTATTTCACCAAACACTCCTCGGTACATCTCTCAATACTTGAGTCACATTCCATTTTGACTTCAGTTTGTTCAATACTTTTTGATTTCGAGGGCGAAATACTTTGATCAGGAGTAGATGTGCCGCCAAAGTTTCTGACAGCAGAATCCGAAACAAAATGTGGAGGCGTTGTATTTGTGCTTCCATTCCAAACATCGGTTTCTGTGCTACCCGCAATTTCGTGTAAACTTTTCGTTCTAATTCTTGGTGACTTCTTGCCAGGTGATTTTCTCGACTCTGGAGAAAGAACTCTATTATTCAGAACCATGGAAGCCTGTGGTTGTCCAGCAGGTGATAACTTGTCTCGTTCTTTCCCAAATTCAGATTGATGTTTTAAGCTCGCCTGTGGCCTGCCAGCAGAATTTTTCGATCTATGCTTGTCAGATTTAGGACTCTTTCTTTCCATAAAAACATCCGAATCAATGAGCGCTGCATCAGATCTAATCGCTGAATGTCGAGAAGCTGGAGAACTATGGGGGTCGTTTTGAGGCAAACTCCATTGACATTGATCAGGAGAACGCTTTCCATTTTTAACCAGAGACGTTTTTGTAGAAAGCATGCGGCTATTTGCTTCCCAAGGTCGAACTATCGGTTTAATAAAAGACGAGCTATCAATTGAACCAGTTGAACCAGCACGAGATCTAGGACTAAATCTCCTAGGTGGCATTCTCTTGGAAACACTTGCCGGCGATTGTTTGTTTTTTGATATTTTTGCCGACGCTTTCTGGCTATCCGATTCAACTTCAGACGAGAAACTACTGGATACAATTGACTCACTGCTTCTAGTAGTTTTCGGAGATTGTTGACAATTAGAAGACAATGTTGGTTTTTCTACAATCCTCGATCCAGGAGAATGCCCAGCTAGTCTTGGAGACGTTCTCCGTACGGGTGAAGCTCGTGAGGACTGTGTTTCTGTTGAATTCTCTATACATCCTGTATTTCTCGATCTACTGGGAGACCTAGACGTTGATTTTCTCCGTTTCGACGAATTCCGTTGGGCTGGATTTTTGACAGGTGATTCGACTAAAGATTTTATCCAGGGCCCTGGGTTTGAGCTTGAAGGCACGAACTCGGTTACTGAGTTGAGTTTTAAAGCAGCAAATGGCAATTCTTGGTCGTCAAAACTAAGCTTTGGATTCTTCTTCGAAGGCGAACAAAAACCTTTAGAGTTCGCGGAAGAATAAAACGAAGCGCTGTTTAAGTGAAGCTCCAGGTCCATATCGTTGCTTTTCTCTAAGTCTACCAAACTACCAAGCGGTAGCTCCCATATAAATTTAGAATTATTATAACCTCCAGATAGTTTACCGTTTCTTTGACTCGACTTTCCACTTTCACTTGAAGCTGTCGAAAAAAGTATTAGAGTGATTTTCAATGCATCTTCAGTAGAAAAAACACCTGGCATCTCAGAATGATTATTTCCAAGCTTTTCAAGGGGAATCGATATTTTGGCAGGTATTGTAAGACGCCTTGCATATCCATTTGTTGACAAACTACTTCCATTTAAGGAAAACTTCAGCGAGCCAACAGTTGTAACTGTTTTGAACCGCCTTTTAACTAGTTCAAGTTCTAGTTGTCCGCTTTGTAGGTGCTCTTCTAAGTTACGAATCGCGGACCCGTAACCGTTTCTATGCGAAGTCATAAGCTTATCTTTACTTTGCTTGAAGTCTAAACCATGATATGATATTCGGAACACAACTTGATGTACAGAGTTTTCTATTTCTTTGTTCAGTGATGTCAGCTCATTGCAAATTGCTTCTAAGGATTTTCGACTATCCATGCCTTTCAAAGATTTAGATTCTTTAGCTTGTTTTCTGTAAAGCAAATTCCTCTGTAACAAAATTGGATTAATTTCACTTCTTAATTTCGAAATGTGATATAAGTTTGAGTTCACACAATGTTGCTCCGCAGGAGTCAACAACCTGTTCAAATTTTCTTCTTCTCTAGTGGATTTCGAGTCAAATTGTGGAAATAAAAATTCTTCACTCGAATTGTAATCAACGTCTACTTTTAGTATTTTAGCCGGTTTTTCTGCGTTCGGTTCCGAGAAGACATATTTTAGACACCCGTTCATCATCGGCTTTTTCCTCTTGACAGTTACAGAATCTTCCTTCGTCTGAGTCGACATCTTTTTGCTTCTCTCTGTGCAAAAGTTGTGCAGTTATTGTCAAAATGCGAATTTAGCCGCCAAAATAAAAACAACCATCAAAAACTGATGCGTCCGAAGACGTATCAAAATCATGCAATGGATCTGAAACTGTTTTAATATTATGTACAACACATTGTAATCGCAAACAAGCTTCAGTAAGACTGGTTACACTAAGATGGTAACTAAGATTAATTCTGTAGAGGTCATTTCGACATGTGTACCAATTTAGAACCACCATTATTTCAGACTGTATACAAAACCGAATTTAAGAACCCGGTTGCTGCCGAAGAAGCAAATAAACCCAGTTGCACCACAAAACTTATAAGGCAAATATCCATCAAAAACAATCAAATAAATTTGAAACAAGGATTGCCGGTTGCTGTTAAGGTAGCACAGAAGGTTCCGACTTCTGTTGGAATTCTGTTGAAGAAATCGTAAACAAAAAAATCAAGAAAATTTTATTTGCGAATATTATAAAAAAACAATTACCTAAAACAAAAGAAGGATTCGGACTACATAAACTTCGATCAATTCTTTCTCATAACCAATGGATGAAAACGATAAAAAAAAATTTGCTAAAAAAACGAGGTCCAAAAAATTCCTCGGTCCAAAAAAACTTTGCTTCAACTCTTGCGACCAGACAACCTATATATCCTACAGGCACAATTGTGGATGAAAAAGCCCTATCCGCTATTTGCTATACAACAAAATCAAAATGAAAACAAGGACAACCGGTTACTGTGCAAGTAGCACAGAATGTTCCGACACGTCTTCAAAAAATTACAACAAAATTATTTTTCCAATTAGTGTCGTTTTTTTTCGGCTTGGTGTGATTAAGTAACCTGAGCGAAAAAGTAGAGCTCAGGCATTATCGTCAGTCAATTAAAATAAGCATTTTGGAGAACACTTTTTGAAGACTAGTAACCAGAAAAAAAATTTTAAAAGAACGTTTTTTTTTAAATAAGTTTTCAACATTTTTCCCCCAATTTTGAAGTTATTGATTCCTAAGATGAAGCTAAAAACTCCAAAAACTACATGCATTAGAGTAAGACTTACCTTTCAAGGCTTAAATTAAACATAAATAAGCTAATGTAAGCCTGCTCACTCGCTCGAAATTAGACCAAAAATCAAAAACTTTAAACCGATTTTTCTCGACACCGGAAAACTTTTTTGAAAGTTTTTGATGTCGTTCGAATCACGACTGAAAGGGCTTTAAAATGTTATGTCACTCAACCTTGTCCGATGATTATTTGTGGTAACTTATTTTGCGAGGAAAACAAAAAAAGACCTTGCTTTATTAGCTCGAATTAAGACAAATCAAAAAATTCAAACCGATTTTTCTCAACACTGGGAAAATCTTTTGGATATTTTAAAATGTGGTTCGACTCATGACTGACAGGGCTATAATATGATATATCAATCAACCCAGTCCAATGATTATTTGTGGTACCTGATTTGCGTGGAAAACAAAAAGAAAATAAATTCAATGGTCGGAACAAAAAAAAACAATTAACGAAGAGTTTCATAGTTTGATGAATAATATGATGATCGAATGACCTAAATTGTATGCTCTTGTTAGAATTTCGTGTTCAAAACTTTGAAATTTTTAGTACTTTCTTCATCTCGTACCCTAGATTAAGTGCTGCTTTTTGCAGTGTCAGCTCCCGTCACTGGATTACTGGGAGTCGGCCTGCGGACCCTGGATTTGTCCAGGTAACACACAGCTGCGAACTCAATCAAACTGGCAAACACGAAGAGAGAACAGCCGGCAAAGTAGTCATCAATGGCCTTCATGTAGGATATTTTAGGCATGTTTGCATTGGTGGATGAGATCAGAGTAAGAAGAGTGAGGACAGTGCTGATTCCGAGGGCTGCCCGTGCGGGTACGGATGCCCTGCCGACCCAGAAGGACACCAAAGAGACAATGATTATGAGAGTGGAAGGTTCTAAATTTGGCATAATTCAGCTTGTTAGCCTACACGTTCACGTCATATTAGTTCGAAATTAGACCAAAAATCAAAAATTTGAAATCGGTTTTTCTCGAAACTGAGAAAAGTTTTTGGAAAAAATTTAAGGTTGTTCGAATCACGACTGAAAAGGCTTTAAGCTGATATATCACTCAACCTTGTCCGACGATTATTTGCGTTAGCTGCTTTTGCGTGGAAAACAAAAAGAAAAAAAAACTAAAACACAGCCGAATACAAAGTTCATGCCCATTTTCAATTATCGGAAAAACAAAAAATGAAATTTCAAGAAAAATAAATGCTAAAGTTCCAAACAATTGCTGCAAAAAAATTGAAACAATTGCCACAAAAAAATTTCAAACAGGCGAAGTGGAGCATAAAACAAAAAAAAGCCGAAAATGAAAATTTTTGAAAACAAATTAGGCCAAATACACTTTCATATGTCTCGATAGAAGTTCATTCCAGGCAAAGATGCCAGATAATTTAATTTTAAATCAGCAACGGAACAAAATTTACGAAAAGAAACAAAGCGGACAACCTTTGAGCAGACACAAATTGAGCCGAAAAAAATATGATTTTATAAAAAAACGTTTAAAGTCCAACCTTAAAAACAATGAACAACAATTGCAATTGCAACTACAAGGAAAGGTGTGTACAGCACAAGAAAAAATCAGTGGTGTGGCAACTAAGCCAACAATCTTTGTGCTAAAACCACCAGAACCGAAAAAAAATTTTTTTTTTATTTTTTAAAAATCTTTCAAGTCCCCCATGAAACTAGAATGAACAGCACTTGCACTTGCAACTACAATCAAAGCTGCTTACAGCAAAAAAAAATAGTGGTGTGGCAACTAAGCCGACCATCTTTGAGCAAACACCAACTGAACCGAAAAAAAAGATTTAATGAAATTTTTTAATAATCTTTCAAGTCCCCCTTGAAATTAGAATGAACAGCAATTGCACTTGCAGCTACAGGAAAAACTGTCTACAGCATAAACAAAATACGTTGAGGCAATTTCGCCGACAAAACCTGAGCGCACAAACGAAAAACCAACAAATCATTTTTCTCGGAACTTTTTTTGTTCAATTTCTTTGGTACTGAAAAGAAAAACAAGATCCGTCCATGACTCGAACCCCGGTTCCTCGGGTACGGATGCAACTGTTTCACCTCCAGGCTATGGAGGAAGCAAGCTAAAAACATAAAAAGAGAAAATAAGAAGAGAAGTGCAAAGAAGTGATTTTATTAAACTAGTTGTTAGCTGGAAAAAGTCTACATTCCAGTTTGATAACGCTTGCTTATCGCAAGCGCAACAATTGACGCAAAAAAACTTTCAAAAAATTCTTTTCTAATATAAAACTTTGGCGCCTATAAAAACTACATTTAAACACTGGACAAGGAAGAGAAAAATAATTCACCAAAAAACCACCAAAAGAGTAACAGAATTAAATACCTGGCAAATACCCTGACTAAATTGGGTCGAAATCATTAGAGCCGACAAAAACAGAGCAAATTATATGTAAATATTTTTTCAGATGTAGACTCAGTATCCTTTCGGTAGCTGTAGATCAGCTGTGAAACGTGCAACGTGTTAAAAAGATATCTTAAAATTGGAGATCCTGTGAACAAGTTCTTCACGGGAAAAAAAGTCTCATACCCGATTGCAATACCCTTGCTTATCGCAAGGATAAAAAAATTTAAGCGTACAATCGCCGCACTCCCTCAGTAAAATAAAATATGAGTCCAAATACAAAACACCCAAACACGAAAAAACTAACAAAAAACCAACCAATTTTTCTTGAAATATCTTAACTAAATTCAAATTACACTTGGAAGAGATTTGAATTGATACCCCAATCGGCCCCTTACTAGAAATGCGTTAACCACTCTGTGCCTCTGTTACTTTCTACAATACGAGATCACGTTTAACAAATAAATGCTTTTGCAGTATTCAATGGTAACTTCATTTATGAGAGAAGATTTTTTGTTTATTTCGTAATTTTTTTAAAAAAATTTGTCTACTTTGAACTGTCGATGCATTATAGAAACGTACTCCTATAAAAAATTTAGAAAATGAGCCAAAATCTTGTTTTCAGATAGTTTTTATGAGCGATTTTGCGACGATACCAAGGGACGATTTTGTGTAGTCGGTACTGATTTGGAAAACGTCGAACAGACTGAACTAAATCTTAAACATAGATAGCCGGTTACTGTGCAAGTAACACACAGTGTTCCGACCATAGACTAAAACGTACTAACAGGTTTTATCTAAAAACGTAGGCATATTCGACAGTCATAACAAAATAGACACAATGGAAAGCAGTTATTGAAGAAAAAAAAATCATGTTCAAGATACTTAATTTTCTTGCATAAATCGTTTGAAAAAAAAATGAAGTTTTTTTATTCCCAAATTAGCAAACTCCACAACCTAACTTTACTCGAGTAACACTAAATTCTAATGGCTCAAATTAAGCATAAATCAGCTAATTTAGGCCTGCTCGCTTATCGTCTTCGCTGCTCAAAATTGGACCAAAAACAATTCTTTCTCGACACAGAAAAAATTTTTCACATTTTAAATGTCGTTTGAATCAAGAATGAAAGTATTTTAATATGATAGCACTCCACACTTTCCGATCATTATTTGTAGTACCTGATTTTGCGTAGAAAACAAAAACAGAAAAAAAAGAACACACCCGAAAACAAAGTTGCTGCCCCTTTTCAATGGTCGGAACAATAACCTCTTTGGTTTAAGACCTTAAAATGAGCAGTCAGTTGGAAAAGAGTCAATGAACGCAAGCAAGCACAAAAAAATGACTGACTTTTTTAAATAGATTTGAAATTTCAAAGAAAAAAATAGATGTCCTTGAAGCTCTTAAAATTTCCAGAATAATTTATTGACTACGTTCATCGACTTTTTAAAAAGTCATTACTTTTTTTTAAAAAAACCTAATGATTTTGTTAGCCAAGCGCAATCGAATAAGGTAAATCTGCAAACATTAGATTTTATCAAGGCAACTTACAAACCTAATTGGATTTAAACACGTCGTTATCAATTTCAGTGTCATCAAGTTAATCTGACAATAGAAAAGATTCAGACTAAATTTTCAAGACAGAAAAATTGATTGAAATTTTTTTGCAATCCGCTTCACGACTGAGAAGAAGTTAATAGACCTCATTTCAGCACCTCCCGATTTAATTTTCCGTACCTCCTAAATTTTCTAACAAGTACTTCCATTGGTAACTGAATCTTGACAAAGTATCCGTGCAACGCCAGCTAAGCCGAAAAATAGACAGACGGACAATAGCCCGAAGAATCTGAAATCTTATAGTTTGAAAACACAGGACCCGGCCGGATTCGAACTACAAGCGTATGTCGTCTCAAGCAAATAAATTACCTTTATGCCAGATTTCCAGGCTTTAGATGCAAATCAAATGTGCTTAATTAACAATGTAAAAAAAACGATGATTGATTTAAATGAAAAACACCAAGTTTATTGAAAAAAAAATGTCATTTTTCATGCTTATTTTTAAAAATATATTACGGAGGGCTAATGGGAAAGGCTAGAATTTTTCTCGTTGGCATTTAGTCGTTATAAAACCAGCAAATCTTTATCCAATAAAAAATAATAGAAGAATCAGCCGACAGAACTAAAGCTGACCGACATGTGCCGAAAACCTACCGAACAATTTTGAATCCGATAAACATTAGTTTGCAACTCTACACGTAAGCGAAAAGCACACATAAAGCCAAAACCGTAACCGTGCTATTCATTAACAATGCAGCGGTACACTCAACATGCAGAGGGTTTAAAATATACTGGCTCCATTTGACGATTCTGTGAGCAAATTTATTTACGGTAAAAAAAGTCTAGCACACGATTAGAACAACCTTGTTTGATATTTACACTTAATTTCTAACCATAGTGTCAAAACTCCTGAAGCTCAATATCAATTCCCACTCACTACCACAAACCGGCCACTCACTACCACAAACCGACCATACTGTCAAAACTCCTGAAGCTCAATATCAATTCCCACTCACTACCCCAAACCGGCCAAAAAAATAGATGTCCTTGAAGCTCTTAAAATTTCCAGAATAATTTATTGACTAGGTTTATCGACTCTTTAAAAAGTCATTACTTTTTTTTAAAAAAAACCTGATGATTTTGTTAGCCAAGCGCGATCGAATAAGGTAAAACTGCAAACATTAGATTTTATCAAGGCAACTTACAAACCTAATTGGATTTAAACACGTCGTTATCAATTTCAGTGTCATCAAGTTAATCTGACAATAAAAAAGATTCAGACTAAATTTTCAAGACAGAAAAATTGTTTGAAATTTTTTTGCAATCCGCTTCACGACTGAGAAGAAGTTAATAGACCTCATTTCAGCACCTCCCGATTTAATTTTCAGTACCTCCTGAATTTTCTAACAAGTACTTCCATTGGTAACTGAATCTTGACAAAGTATCCGTGCAACGGCAGCTAAGCCGAAAAATAGACAGACGGACAATAGCCCGAAGAATCTGAAATCTTATAGTTTGAAAACACAGGACCCGGCCGGATTCGAACTACAAGCGTATGTCGTCTCAAGCAAATAAATTACCTTTATGCCAGATTTCCAGGCTTTAGATGCAAATCAAATGTGCTTAATTAACAATGTAAAAAAACGATGATTGATTTAAATGAAAAAACACCAAGTTTATTGAAAAAAAATGTCACTTTTCATGCTTATTTTTAAAAATATATTACGGAGGGCTTATGGGAAAGGCTAGAATTTTTCTTGTTGGCATTTAGTCGTTATAAAACCAGCAAAACTTTATCCAATAAAAAATAATAGAAGAATCAGCCGACAGAACTAAAGCTGACCGACATGTGCCGAAAACATACCGAACAATTTTGAATCCGATAAACATTAGTTTGCAACTCTACACGTAAGCGAAAAGCACACATAAAGCCAAAACCGTAACCGTGATATTCATTAACAATGCAGCGGTACACTCAACATGCAGAGGGTTTAAAATATACTGGCTCCATTTGACGATTCTGTGAGCAAATTTATTTACGGTAAAAATGTCTAGCACACGATTAGAACACCCTTGTTTGATATTTACACTTAACTTCTAACCATACTGTCAAAACTCCTGAAGCTCAATATCAATTCCCACTCACTACCACAAACCGGCCACTCACTACCACAAACCGACCATACTGTCAAAACTCCTGAAGCTCAATATCAATTCCCACTCACTACCACAAACCGGCCAAAAATTTAGCAACGATTTCTGAAATTATTTTATTTCTTTCGCAATGATTACTCAATTGTAACATTTGCAAAAACTGCGGATTTACCTTCTACTCTTATAACAGGTCAGTATTTGTAAAAACATTTGCGTATAATATTCCCACAATTTCGATACCGAACGTCCATGCCAAGTGACTCCTAATCAGTTTTTAAAATTATTTCTAAACACGCATTAGTTGGCTACATATTGAACGACTTCGTAAAAACAAAAAAAAATGATCAAAATTTTAAATTTCTCTTCTTTCGACAAATTCAATGAAAGATTTCAATTTTCTACATCTCGTATATGCCTTTGCATTTATCTGCCTGAAGCTTTCTTTTATCAAAGCACCACTTCCGATTTCATAATAGTTCGGATATTCGTCATTTCTGCCTCTTTGAGAAAACCTGTTGGCTATCGTCTCCCATTTCACAGGCGATGTTAACTGTTTCAGTAGCATCATTTTGGCAGCATATGAGTTCTTCTTTACAAAGTCATCTCTATGCCAGGCAGAGACATCCAGAATAACAGAAAAATCTTACTGATTTATTCTACATAATTTTTGGGCCTTTTCGCTGATAATAGTTTCAACCGACCAGATTCGAGCATCATGGTCAAACTTTCAAGATAGCAAAAACACAGTTTTTGGGCCGTTGAACAGAACAGACGCTGAGGATTTGTGAACATTTAATCCTCAGCGTCTGTTCTGCTCAACGGCCCAAAAACTTTTGTTTTTGGTATCTTGAAAGTTTGACCATGATGCTCGAATCTGGTCGGTAAAAAATCAATTTTATCAAGCGTTGCTCGTGGTACAATTTTTGAAACTCTCGGGACCTCAACTTTTTCAAATTAGATAAACCTTAAACAGGTAATTTTAATTGGATGGATCCTATGAACGGATCAAACTTAAAACTTAAGTTGAGTGAATGTTCATCTGGTGATCTCTGCCTTTGATATCTTGCTCCAGTCACTCCTGAATATACTGAAGCGGTCCACGTTTTAGGGTCATTGAAAACAACATCGTTCAAAGCTACAGCAAACTGCTCAGAAGCAGCTTTCATCAAGGGAGTATGGAGAGCGATCGCTGATTTCAGAGGCACAATCTTCCTGAAATGAAACTCATCTTGTCACAAAAGACTGCCCAATTGGCCCTAAGAAACTTCCTATCTAGTTAGTTTTATAAACAAAATTAAATTAACGAGCTACTATCTCGAGACTTATTTACGCAACGACAAAAAAAGTTGCAACAAAAAAACAGTTAAAAAACACTGAATTTCTTGAACAAAGTGTCGAGATGTGACAAAATTACGAGATTAAATAAAAGCTATTGCTGATCTGGTATAAAACACGCATGTTTGAAAAAAAATCTCGCCAATACCTAGTATTTACGAAGCAAAACACGTTTCCTGTTTTGATTGTTCAAAGAAAGGGCGGAAACATTGCTTAAAATTTTTTTTCAAGCACAGCACGGAAGCAATTTGAATGTGTTATATTTCTGATAAATTATTGAATAATTTTTTCCTCTTTGGAATATTTTGAACTGTTTCCATTTTTTTTTCACGCTAACAACCCCAGAAGCAGGTTAAAAACCACACTTAGCAGCCTATGAGATGATTCAACAAAGATTAACAAAATTTGAAGCATTTAAAAAATTTTAGAAGTTTTTTCACGTTATAGTTATTTGTAGTGAAAATTAGTTTATGAAACAAGTTGCAAAACTAATTTTACTTTGTTTCCGAACAGTTATTCTCTTTTACTCTAATTCCGAGAGAAAAATTTTTCTCGTGCCTGCGTAATTAAAAAACACGTTTCTTAACGCATTGGTATGAAATTAACTATCACTGGCAGGCCCCCTGAAGCAAAAGCTGCTTGTGAAAAATGACAGCTTTTATGTTTACCAGAAAAATAGGCGGGATAATGGATGTTGAGCTGGATGTAAGGATGGCTGGATGGATCAAGGGATGTTTGAATGATTGGCTGAATGACAGAATGCATGATGGATAGCTGGATGGATCGCATGAGTGATGGCTGGGTTAAAGAATGACGGGTTGTATGTATAGATGGCTGAGCTGATGAATATGGTTGGATGGATGACTGGTTGGTTGCAAGGCTAGGTGGATTGATGGCTGCATGGATAGCTACATGAATGGATGGCTGATTGGATGTATTGATCGCTAGATACATGGAGATCTAAAGGGATGGATGGCTAGAAAGATGATGAATGACTGGATGGAGAACTGTCGAATGTGTGGATGGATTGCCGAATGATTTTCTTTGGTGTTCGAAACAAGTTTTTTTCAAGTTTCGAAAAATGATAAAAAAGCAATAAAGCGAAAAATGATAAGCGTTTAAGTCACATTTGGAGGCACGACTTTCGAATTTCAAAATATGTTAAGAAATTTTTTATCTAAAAATTGAATAAAATCACAAAAATCGTCAAATCCCAAAACCTAAAAAATTTGGATATTCACATTTGAAGGCCAATTTTGCAACCCCTGGGAGAAGTGCCTAGGACAGCTCATCATCCTGAGGTTGCCAATTTCAAATTTGCTGAAATAAACGCTGAAACGAAAAATTCATTGTTCCGACCATTGAAAGGTGTGCTTAAGTTTTTTCTATTTTTTTCCACGCAAAATCAAGTACGGTACCACAAATAATCATCGGACTTGGCATATCGTATTAAAGCCCTTAGGTCATGATTTGAACCACATTAAAAAAACTTCAAAAAAAAATTCCCAGTGCCGAGAAAAACCGGTTTGAAATTTTGGATTTTTCATCTCATTTCGAGCGAATGAAGCGAGCGAGCAGTTTTATTTCAACTGATTAATTGCTTTAAAGCTTACAATAGCTTAATTTAAGAACTAAAAACTGAGTTTTACATGGGTAATGTTAGTTTTCTTTGAGTATTATAGCGCCTTTTTAAAATCAAATTTTTCAAAAATTCAAAAAAAATTCGAAATTTTTTTGTTTGAGTTTTTTCATTGTTTAATTATTTTTGTATAAAAATTGTTTTTCAATTTGCTAAATTTAGTATGGATGTCGAATATATCTTATCCCCAGTTTTGTTGATTCAGCTCCTTTAATCACACTACGTAAAAAACGACAATAATTGAACAAAACTTAGTTGTATTTTTTTAAGACTATGGTCGGAATATTCTGTGCTACTTGCACAGTAACCGGCTATCCTTGTTCCATAATGTATAAATAGATGAAACCCAGCTTTACACCACCTTCTCTCCTCCCCTCCCATGCTGGCATCATAGCGATAGTCTTACATTCAGGCCTTTAATATGCCTAGCATTGAAAAAAACCGCAAAAACGAAAAAATTTCTTGAGCATTGTAAAATAGCTAAAACGTGCAAAAGTTCTTCCGTTAAACATGCAATATATGAAAAGCTTAAATATGGTGAGAAATATGCGACATATTCAAATATAGTATAGATAGATGGATAGATATTCAATGATTAATGTTCACAAGGTCATTGGTTAAACTTTGAATGTGGATTTCAGTTTTCAAATCGAGTGGAGTGCAAATATAAAATTCATGCTTTCCACACCATTTGCACTTTCAAAACTTGAGAGCTTAATTTGCCTTCCTAATCAATTTAAATTGAACTTGAAAAGAAATCAAAATACAAACTACGGAATATCATATTCGAGCATGATCAAATTTAAGATTTTTCCCGGTCAAAACAAAATTCAACCAGCCTAAAAAGTTTTCACTTCGTTCATTGACGCTGAAAATTCAAAATATACATCTATTAATTCATTTTCAAAAAGTTTCATTAACGACAACATCCAATTGGAAATGTATATGAACACACAACAACGCTTTCGAAACTAAAAAATGAGTTATTTGTCGAACCATTTTCGCTTTCCCTCAAAATGAAAAATGTACATTGAAGTGGACTATACCGTATAAAATAGCACGTGAATAAATTGAACCCCCACCGTTCACTCTTATTAACAAACTTTCTTGAAAAGTTTGCCGTTTCAGTACCATTTTGCTGTTCTGAATTCGACCGAACTGTACCGTCAAAATACGCGAATGTAGAATGAGATCAACCGTCAAATCAATATTCAAAGACTCGCTATCAAAATTCATGTCAAAAACCATTTTGCCAAATAACTTGTCTCAACCTTACAAAAACTGATCAAAAGATAAAGTAAACTCACCTCTTAGTAGGCGCGGATATAGGAATTTCTCGAGGGGTCGGATTTTTTTAAAGTCGATTCTGAGGTCTTCCAAATCATAATAAAGACCCTAATTTGACCAAATTTTCTGCGCCGCAGGCAAATTTTTGAAAAAAAAAAACAAACGCCGTTTTAAGGCACTTTGGAAAATTTTGACCAAAAAATCGCGTTTTTTTGGCGCGCTCTCCCCCTCAAAATTAGTATATATTGGCGCCAAAGGCGCCTTTACAAAATTTTTAGCGCCATCCCCCCCAGCCCCCCCCCCTTCCTAAATCCGCTACTGCCTCAGTAAAAGCCTGTCATAAAATTCGAGCGCACGCCACTGACCTTATATTATACTCTTTTTGCAGGGCCTCCAGATGTTTTAGACACTGCATGTGACCACCTATGACCTTGGTACACGCGAACAAATGTATAGCCACATTACATACAGGTTCTTCTATCCCACCCAACTCGCCAAAAGATTTCAGATGTTCACATAGCGCTGCAAATTTGGTTTTCTTGCTCCCATACACCACTGCTAAACCACTTTCACTCAAACGAACCGCTTGTTGCAAGGCATCACGTCTGTCTTCTGGAAAAAAATGGTGTTAAGTATTAACCAGCTGCCAAATGAACCAGCTGAATTATTTAATATTTACCTGACATATACGAAAAAACTATCAAGTAAATAAATTAACTTCCGAGTGTCTTTTACAGTCCGCTCAAATGCGATTGGTTTATAGTTCTGCAATTTTGACAACCAAATGAGTGACACGGACAGTTCAAATGTCATTAATTATTATGATTGTGTCCCTATTTATAATAAAACTGGTAAATTTTGAAAACTGACAGAAAAAAAAGCCATTACAAAAACAAAAATTTTCGTTAGCGCAATAACATGCAATTTGAAGTTGTGAGCAAACTGCAAGTAAGATTGACCTCAGATCTCTTTAACCCTTTTTCAGAACCATTAAAATGCGACAACGAAAAACTGAATATATACGAGGCGGAGCGGATTTCACACACGCGCGACACCAAACAAACAAAATTTTCTCTGCATTGATGTTCTGGTTGAGGAAAACGCATTCAAGAACCTCAATTAAATAAGTACTAGCAAGCGCATCTCTATTAATCAATCGACTCGGAAAAAATTAGTTGAGGTCTTTTCTGTTATTTGTCCGATTGTAATTTGCTGGCTAAGCTTCTGTTTTTGAATCCAGAAATACTTTAGATGAAAGTAATTGCGACCAATCATTTTCGAGTATTATGATCCAATTTGTGAAAAATCGATTTAGGGCCGTTTAGCAGAAAAGATTCCTTAGTTGCTCTGAGCTACCTATTAAAATTATGAAGCAAGGATTTCAAATTCTTGTGAACTTTATGATGATGCCAACATAGCCAACAGACAGTTGGAAAAGAGTCAATGAGCGCAAGGAAACAGAAGAGAAAAACTGCAAAGTTAAAATATATGGCATTAAAGTTCTTGCAATTTCAGAATTTCAAAAACAGTTCAAGATTGGCATTTTTTTGATCAAAAGAATCAATTTGAGAAAACTGGATCAATAGGTAAATTACTATTCCGCAGGGAAATTTGAAAATTAAACTTCCTTTTCGAAACTGAAAGTCAACCACGTTTTTTCAAATTTCCCTATTTCAAATCTTTACACTTTCGTAATTAGAAGTCACAACTAAGCTAACTTTTAGCAAATGAAACGGATTATATATACCTAAAAGCAATTATAAATGCATTAGTATGTTTGAATGCACTTCTGTGAAATATTAGAGCATTTTCGGACTTCTGCTTTAAAAAAGCAAAAAACTATCATGACGACCTAGATAAGACATTGAAGTACATTTATCGACTCTTAATTTGGATAATTGGACATATTAGAGAAAAAATCTATGATTGATACTTACTGACCAACTTGAGAGCCTGTGGCATGCCAAGTGCACCTGCCGCCACCAATGCGCTTATCTCCCCCACCCCAATACCACAGGTCATGATAAGACCGTCATGGACTAATGGTCTATGCTTCTTAATCCAGGCAATTTCAGCCATTGATGTTACAAAAGTAACAACATCAGAGTAATTTAACGAGTTCCACAAGTCAGAATTGCCTGAAAACAACACCTCTTTACCTCTATTATATAAACAAACATTAGATTCTACTTTTCCCAACCATGCATAACAATTAAGTTTCATTTTAGAGCGTTTTCACCGAAAATTTATAAATCAGGATTTTAAATCTGTATTTGCTTGTGGCGATGGCGTATCAGATTTCAGTTCTTCGTGATAGTTTGTAAAAATAATTTTCATTCTTTCTATTACAGCCGCGAGTTCTGGGCCACATTTTTCAGCGGTGGTCACAAACAACAACTGTACGACGGCTCGCGTATCTGAAGATTTTACTGCCCTGATATGTATTAAAACACCCAGCAAAATCGTCCTTAATTAAAACTGTTGAGGGACGCGCGAGTTTTTTAGGAAGGGACCCACTTAGGAGTGAGCGGATTTTAAAAAGTTTTGCCGACCTTTTCTATAGACCGACCAAGTTGCCTTTCGAAGACCTCCCAAACCATAATTAAGATCCTATTTTGGCCCAAAACATTTAGCGCCTCAGACAAATTGACAAAAAGACACCTTGTTGAAGGTTTGGCTTTAAAACATGCGTTTTTTTGGTGCGCGCTCCTCAACAAACTTGGTACATATTGACTCCGACTATGCCTTGTGTAAAACTTTAGGGTCGGTCAGCTAAAAATGTATGCCGTGCAATAGTACCACAATGGGCCCTTTGATTGGCGAGGGAGTCGTTCTCACCTCCCTGAATCCCCTAATACTACCTTCAGTGATGTCGAGTATGATTCCACTCTGGTCGCTATATTTTTTCTTCTTCGGGGGGTGGGGGGAGGGGATAGGTGAAATTGCGTTTTTTCTCACCAATAAGAGCACTGACCATTAAGGCAGATATCGAGCACATTATATCCCAACAGAGAAGAGGCTTCCTCGAACACCTCCCCCACAGAGGGGTCTGCAGACAGGCGATCCACAAATACACTGTCCATGTGTAAACTGTCGCCTCCAAACATGAACGCACTCTTCTGACTCAAGTCGAATCTAGACAGCCACACATATTTTATGGTGGAGTAACAATGGATAATTAGTTAGGGCCAAATTATGCACCATGTTTGTATAATTGAGCTACTTCATCGGTTTCAAGAAGGTAATTCTCTTTACGTGCTGAAATGAATGGGCAACTGAAATGTGTAAAAAATTGGCTCACGCCGTCGAAACGAGCAATGTTAGTTTAACTGACATCATGAACACTCCGTGGCAGAAAAAGGATATTAATAACAATTTGCAAATAGTTATAAATTATAATCTCAACGAGGAAATTTTGAAAGAATGGGTCAAAAATTTGAGATAAAAAAGACTGGAAAAAGATTTCACACAAAGCAGTCAAAATTCACTCCAAACCAAAATATCGGCCTGGAGCATCAAAAACGCATTAAATGATCAGGTCTGGTCAGGCTTGCTGCAGATCTGGTCATTTGCAAACTAGATCTGCGCAGAAGTGTCAATCGTACGCAGTTTCACTCCTGCGCATTGATGTCACATGTCTGACCACAACTGATTGAAATTTAGACATGAAATAAATGTGAGCACGTCTGGAAAAACATTAAGAATTGAGTACGGGAAACAGCCGCAAAACTTGAAGACTGCTAATTTTGAACACTGTAAATTCTTCGCACTGCCTATTAACTATTCCTCTTTTCGTTTTACAGCCTAATGATATTATCACGCAGGTTTAAGCTAACCTGTTTTTACTTTTGGGTGGTTTGTTCAAATTAAGAACCGCTTTTGCCGATATTGATGTTTTGAATTCGCCACTGTGTACGTCTAGGTTAACATCATCAGCCTCTAAAGGTGTCCGTACAGTTATTCGCGAGTCTTTGAGTAATTTCCGAACATCCACATCTTCAGTAACCTCTTCTCCATATGAGCTGCTGAATATAAAGGACAACCATAAACAGCTTGATTTTGAAGCAAAAAACCAAAACAATCATAAGATAACATTTCTACGTTGTTGATAATACTAAAAAGGTCGGCACCTCCAACTAGTTTCTAATCAGCGGAACATCTGTTCAGCGATCTATAGCTCGTATATTGGTAGCTTAACCTCGTGAATTAACTGTCTAAAGCTAACATGGCAAAAAGATATTGTGAATGGACTTTGTTTTTGACACTTTCACAATCAATTTAACACATTTACAGAAACCCGGGTCTATGTGATTTTTTATTCGGCAGGAAAATCTGAAAATTAAAACCCTCTTTTGAACCCTAAGCAAGTTTCATTTTTTGTGCAATTCAACTTTTTTGATAATGGAAAGAGTAAATTGCCATCTATTGAGCAATTGAATTTGAAGTGAACCTTAAAAAATATCAATTCATAACGCCAAAAACAAGATCGAGCGCAAAGTTTTTCGCAACATATTAACTAATCCAAGGGCAATTAAATTAACAAACTTGCAAAAAAAAACAAATACCAAAGAGCAGCGATAGCGTGTTTTTTTTTGCTAAAATGCTGAACTTATTTTCATGACAAAAATTTACAACAGAAGTTGGCTACTTATCAGAAGAAAAAGTCGCAGCTTTTAGATCAACAGCCTTGCTTGCGCACACACTCTTTCGAGAAAAAAGCAGGACCGTATTAAAAAGCCTCTCGTTCCTTAACACTAAATAATTATCCTTGTATTAGTAAATCGTGTTACTGTTAACACAAATAAAATACAGTTATCGCAGAAACAAATATCCTTATAAAATGAAACTATGTATGCAGCTATGATGCAATTGTCAAGAAAAAACTCCTTAAAATTGGAAATTGAAGTTTCAGATTAAATCGTCCCTTACTTAGTGGAACATCTTCTGTTGAGGGGAATGGTTTTAAACACGGCAACAGCTTGCTGATGCAGACAAAATTGGCAAACACTGCGTCTCGCTTTCAGAGCCATAATGAATTACTATCTGAAAAAAAAAACACAACAACCATCATCGAATCATTAACGTGCGCAGAATTTGTGAATTGATTTCATCAAATTTTCATGGCCAGGTCTTTCAAGTTTATGGGCTCTGTGATGTGGTACTTGGTTTTTAAATATTTGTAAATAATACTGGGCTGCAGGTGATTTTTTAGGAAACCTTTGGCGAAGTGAATTTAATTAAGAAAAAAAAACATTCCAAAAAAAAACAGTCTTAAGAACGAAAACTTGCTAAACGTGATATAACTTGCCATCTTGGCATGAGTACTCTAACTATTTTTCACCTGGTTCGGTTAAAAAAGTGAATAAGTCTAAATATTTAATTTATAATCATAATTTAAACTTGGCAACACGTTTTGAGTCCTGATCTCTAATGTCCTTCTTTTTACTTTTATCACTCTTCATTTTCTGCTGATCGTTCAATTGTGTGAAGAACGTAGACGAGGTCATGTTTCCGGTGTAGTTAACTGCAGCCTTCTTGTCACTCACTATCTTCAAGTCTCTGTTGCCTCTGGCAGCCTTCTTCAAGTCCAGAAGAGCCTTCTCTTTTGAGTCCGGGTCTAGTTTCTTCTCTTCACGTGCCGCTATGGCCTTCTGTCTCAATTTCTTGTGTCTGCGCTCTCTCAGCTTGTCTGTTTTACTTCGCTCTGAAGTCGCTTTCTCTTCTGACTGTTTTACCTGCAAGCAAACATATATATAATTTTGCCTCTTTTCACCTGCCCATTTAATACACAGAGTCGAAGCGGAGCTACAGGAAAGGCAAAGAGAGCCACTAAGTCCAAAGAAAACGAAAAATTTTTTCGAAGAAACCACAATTAAAAACTTTCAAAAATGCCTGGAACGATGTTACATTAGCATAATTTTTGTGCGAAAATAAATTTGTGGTCACGAAAACTTTAGACTAAAAATTTTTAACGTTTTGTGCAATCCGGAGGAAAGCATACAAACTATAGTTCCCTCGATCAACCGAAAATGAGGCGAGTAAGCCGATGAAAATGAGGGGAGTGAGCCGAAAGCATTTAGGCATATACATTTTTTAAGAGAAAAAAATCAAAAAAGAAAATTATACGAAAATAAAGTAAGTTGAAATACAAATTGCAGGAGTAAATGAAAACATCAGAAGAAACTAACAAACAAATGCATACAGCACGAAAAATCTAAGATGTGGCAACTAAGCGGACAAAACATAACCAGACAAACAATAAGCCGACAATTTTATTGAAACGGAGGATTTCTCGTTTGAAAAAAAAAACATGTCCTGGTCAGACTCGAATCGCAAACCTTTGCGGTCCTAGGCGTTTTCGTTGCCTCCAGACTAAGAGTGCCGTAGAGGCTTAGAAATTTGAACCAAGATACCAAGTGATTCTATTAAATAAGTTGTTAACACGAAAAAGTCCGATTTGACAGTGCTTGCTATTCGCAAGCGTAGCACAGAGGCGAAGCTGAGCTTCGCACCACTTGCGATACAAATATGAATGAGTAAGATTAAAATCAAACGGAAAAGAAATTTAGAAAAAAAAGTTTAAAAAAATTGTTTTTGTCAATAAAAATTGCAACAAAGACCCAAAATATCCAGGACAAAATTGCCTACATCATTGGAAACTCTACAAAGAGATTTGAGATAGCTTTAAAGAAGACAAGTTTTAATAAAAAGTCTTTTCTGCGGAACTAAGTTTCAAAAAAGTCTTTTCTGCGAACTAAGCAGACAAAAAAGCAGACAGACAATAATGTAAATTAGCCAAAAATTTCTTTTGTAAAAAAAACCAGGTCTCAACTGGAATCGAACTTCCGGGCTTTTTCGTCAGAAACATGAGGCTTACAGCAACTTGAAATAATGCTGAACTATCGAGCTAGGGAAACCAAGCCGGCAAATAAAAACAGACTGAAGATAATCCGAAAAAGCACAAAAACTCAGTGTCAAAAAACAGGGCCCGGCCGGATTCAAACGGCAAGCCTTTGCTAATAAAACTGCTGTTTTACCTCTATGAAAGATGTAATAAAAGGCCACTAATTCGATATTAATTAGGCCAAAAATTATTAAGTCGACAAAAAGACAAAACAATGAAAAACTGAAAAAAAAAAATCAAATCGAGCTGGTAAACTTACAACCATGAAAAGCAAGTTTCAATTCGGCCTTTTTTTTAAAATGCTAAAAACAACTGCAGTGAGAATTGTTTACAGCTAAAATTTATGAGTCTTAGATGTGGCAACTGAGCCGACAAAACATAAGCAGACAAATAAAAGGCAGATTTTTTTTATCCTGAATATTTAGCGTGTGAAAAAAACTGATCCTGGTCAGATTCGAAAACAGGACTTTTGCCGTCCCGGGCGTATTTGTTACCAACAAGCTAAGTGTGCAAGATAACATACAAAATTTGAATTCATTATGAAGCAAGGTACATGAAGCCGGATGACCTTAGTGAAAACTTTTAGAATATATCCGGACCGAAATTTGGCTTCTTTTTCTATGTCCTCTATGAAGGCTTTAGCCAGAGGAAAAAACTTCACGAAAACTCTCTAGAAAAAAATATCGGAAAAAGCTAGCCAAATTGATACTCACCTTTCTCACTTCTTCAGGTGCCAACTGAGCTGATTCTGCCAACGCTACCGGAACCGCTTCCTCCATGGAGAGTGCCGGTGCATTGCGCACAATCTTCATTTCGGTCGAAGGCGCCTGGGGCGTGATCGAAAAATGGGACAGCATGTCCAACTTATAAAACACTTTCTTCATCATCTCTTTTATCTCTTCGTGTTTTTCATTCTTTTCTTCTACTTTCTCTTCGCGAACTTGTTTCAAGAATTCTTGTTCATAAACCTCAGCTAAACTCATTTTACTTTTGTCCTGCTCCAGCAGAATCCGTTTTCTATATTCAAATGGTGCTTCTTTCGGACGCCATTTTCTCATGACGTCATCAAAAGTTTTATCCTTGATTCGTCTTAGAATCACCTGTTCCAAAGACTCGGTTTTCTCTTTGGTAATTTCAGGAGGAGGTCGTGCCGAACTATCGTACTGCAATACTTCGGCTAAAAGACTGTCTGTGGGTCGCTTTTCGGCTGTCGCTTCACCCATTAGCTGCCAAGGCTTCTCTCCTAAACTATTTTCTTGCATTTCGTCAATTTTTTCTCGATATTTCTGCATCCTCTTCTCGTGTAAGCTCAAATCCTCGCCTACGTTATCATCTGATTCTTCGTTGGTTTCAAAAAGGTCAATTTTCCGTTTTTTACCCTCGAAATATTCGTCATCTTCTTCTATGTTTTCATCGGCAAAATGAACACTTCGATTGTTCTTAGATCTTTGAAATTTATTTCCTTGAGGAATATCAAAAAAATCTTTATAATTGATCTCACTTCCTTTCTGACCAGAAATATTAGAAAAGTAATCAACATAGTCCTCATTTTCATCATCTTGATTCGAATCATCGTCATACATGTGGGGATTCTCGAGACGCTTCATCAATTTCTCATCTTTCTTATCCTCTTGGTCCAAAAACGCTTCAAGTTCTTCGATTTTCAAAAAATCGTCTTCAAAAACGGACTCTTTTGTGTCTCCGTTTACTTTCCTTTCGTCCGCATTTTCTTCATATTTTTCGTCATCTTCATCAAAATCTTCGTTCAGATCCAAATTCTTACCTTCCTCATCTTCTTGCTCGATTTCGGATTCATCGTCTTTTGGATCATCGGCAAAATTAAGTTCTTCCGAAACTTCGCTTCCTTCGTCCTCTGAGAATTCTCCCATCTCAAAGGTCAGATCTTCATCCACGTTTTCTAACTCACCGTCTAAATCGTCATCCAAAGCCTCCAACTCATTTTCGAACTCCTCGTCATCTTCAAAATCAAATTCTTCGACTTCTGCGTTGATCTCTTCCTCAGTTTCACCGTGTATTAATCTTTTCACGCTTTTAGGAACAGATTTTCCAAGAAATTCACAGGACAGAAAAACTTGCTGCCAAATTTGGTCACATTCCGCGACCGATAAAACTGCCGACGCCTTTGACTCATTGATCAGCATAGACTTCAATGTTGTCAGTTGTAATTTAGGCAGTTTGTTTCCAGAAGATATTCGATCGTAGTTAGAATAAAATTTGTCGAACTTCAATTTCGTTGTCTTTTTCAATTTAACTTCTTCGGAGCAACATTTTTGTTCTTCGCTTTCTATAAAGTCTTCGATTTTCAGACGCATTATAAACTGAAATCTTGCAACATTTCAAATTGCTAAACGCCTTATTTCATGATGCATATTGTGTAAAACAGTCACAAAAAATGTAAAGAAGAAAATGAATGTTTATGAAAAAATTGAGGCAACAGATAACGCCTGTAAACAAGAAAATGAAAAGACCTGAACGAATTTAAGGAAAAAAACGCCAAAGGACAAGAACTAAAAAAAATGTATTATGAAAAAATTTGGAAAGAATTGAAAAGGTATTTTCATTGTGTGAATTATACACAGACATTTTTCTGATAAAAAGCTATGAAATATATTTAATGAAACTCAAAAAAATAGCAGAAAAAATCGGGAATATTAAAAAAAACGACAAATTTAGGATAAAAACTGCAATAAAAAAATCGATTACATTTGACGAAGGTTACATTCGAGAAGCTATTTAGCACTCAGCCCTCTATAATTAGCATTCAACTTAGCGATGTAGTTGGCTTGTAAAAAATCGGAAACTAACCCGACAAAAATCCCACTGCGTTCCCGACAAAAATCCCAAGATCACTGCGTTCTTTTAATATCAAAAAAAAATCATAGTGCTGCTTTAACTAACCCGGACAAAACGAACACGATTGGAAATTTCAAACACGTTTTCCTCAAATTAGGTTAAGACTTGACAAAACGTGGAGAATACAAAAGTTGTTTAGAATTTCATCAGAATTAATATGACGCAATTTTTTCCCGAAATTCTCAACCAAAAGTTCACCCCCAGAAACGGATCATTTTGGCTTTTTTGAATTGCTCAAGAAATACGCTGAAAACAACAAGTTAATTGATGAAAAATTTATATCAAATGAAGACTCCTAAACAGCTCAGCAAAATTCTAGAAAGATATAATTTCCAAAAATCTGTACGAGAATACATTTTTAGTTGAAAACCATAAAGGGTCAATCAACTATAAAACAATCAAAACCTTTGCATTAAAACAAAATTCAAACGTTTTACGCATAATTTAAGAAATTTTAGCCTTCCAGGAATTTTTTGGGCTGTACAAGAGGCTTCTTTTGATATAAAAATTTCGTCAATTAACTTAGTAGTTTCAACATAACTCTTGATTAAATAAAAAAGCCAAATTGATCCATTTTGAGGTAACATTTTAATTGAGAGCATCGGAGAAAAAATTGAGCCAACTTATCTCTGATGAAAATTTACGCAACTTTTGATTTCTTCATTTTTTTTAGAAAACCCAATTTGAGAAAAACGCGTTTGAAATTTCGAATACAGTTCGTTTTGTCCATTTAATTCAAATCAGCGCAGTAGACTTGACAAGCCTCAAGGAAACCACAGTGCCATTGATAGAGTGCTGCAAAAAATCGGCTGCATATGAAGTCATATCAAGTAAAAAAAAACTCTGACGTCATGTGCTACAATCTGTGACTAAAGGTATTGAATGAAAACAACTTAGCACCCGGTTGCAAACACATGCTATCGGATGTATAATTAAAGACAAAAAATTGATGTACACAGATGCATGTTGCATTAGCACGCGAAGACAAAGCCAAAAGCTGATTGAAAACTAGAATAATGAATTCATTACAGCGCTTGTCATAAATAGTCTTTTGTTTCTTTAGTTTCCCATTTTTGGTTGCTGTTCTGTATATCTCATAAGTTTTAAAAAAATCAGGAGTCTAATGCGCGGGCTGATAATTATGAATCTACAAAAAAAGCTAGATTAATGGGCATTCACAACCTCGAGGGAGTCCTCGAAGTTTTCGCTAGAATGAAGCAAACCCAACTTAACAACGGTTCTGGTTAATGTTTTTACGATGCACGCACGAGCTATGCTGTTAGGCCTAGAGATTATCTCTTGCCACTCGTCCCAGAGGCCAGAATATCCAAACGATGTCGCTGACTCGAACCTCGTCTGCTGTGTGACGCCATTTTTTACGGCGTATGGGAGCATATTTACGAAGAGACGTTTCCAGAAGTTATCCATTCTCTTTTTTTTACAATCTTCCAAGATCTTGAAATGAGCTTCAGGGAGTTGTTGTTTACAGCATCGCTGACGGCGACAAAAAGAAGGAGATCCCAGTCATGACACTGTTGCTTGTCAGCGGGAAATTGTCCTTATCTCATTGCTGACATGACTCAAATGACACGCATTGAGTCCTGAGTCAGGCGGGTAGAATCAAGGATGAGCAAGAAAGCTCGTTTGACCATCAAAACCAGCCTTTCTCACACCCTACAAAAATAAAAGGACGATGGTGGATTTTTTTTCCAATCGATGTCGTGGTTTGTCATGACATTTTGGACGATTTCTTTGTCTATTTCAACCGGGTCTGTCTTGATTTCTTTGCGGGCTCATATGAAAAGAGTCGGGTTCTCCGATTTTTTTTTGGGTCAGTCCTCTTCGAGCTATCAAACGCCCAATTGCACAGCCGCCTTTGTCGATAAATAGACTCTTTATAGTCTCGAGATGTACTGCTTGTGTCGTCAAACATGTGAACAGGTATATGTAGTTATTTTCTGTAAACGTCTTATATGCAATGAAAAAGAGACCGATGTCATCATTTCGGAAAGGACGGGGATCCTTAAAAGGTTTCTCAAATTTGCATGCGGGTTAACGATCGAACTGGTTGTCATTACAATCCATCGAAATCATCGACAATAGAAACAACGTGTGCGGATTTGTCAAAGAGCTTGGCGAAGCCCTATCACAAAGAAGTTCTGTACATATCTGCGGATGTATTCCATTCTGAGATGCATGTACCTGTTGTGTATAAGCTACAGCATTAATCGAGTCGAGTGATCTTTTGCATGCAAATTGTTAGGAAACTTAGCGCTGTCATCCAGTGGGGAGTTGAAAAGTAGAACATTCCCATCCAAGAACGGAGAAAAAGGAAGAATCGTACATTTGTCTGAAAGCTCATTTTCTCGTAATTTCTCCAAAGCTCAGGAAAAAATTTGCTGTGGTTGAGCGAAGCGCAATGAGCTTAAAACAAAACTGCACTTTGGCGAGCTTCTACACGAAGGAAGCGAAGCCAATCCGAGAACCGAGGAGAATCTGGCCGAGATTGAATAGACAATGATTTAATAGCTTTTGTAGCATGACTAAAGCCGATTGGTTAATAGTTAGAGGTTGCAAAAACATCTCTAGCGAAGTTATACGGAAGCGGTATTTGCCTGAAAGGAGGATACCCCGGGTTACATGATACCTAGGATTCATCTTACCAGGAATGTGGTCCCGCTGATTCATTTTACAAGGAGAGGATTTTGTTTACGCAAATAGCAAAAAAAATTCTGTTTTGAGCACGAAATCAGCCATGACAGGACAGTTGTACCATAAGTCTAGAGAAAAATTCTATCGAACTGGAATTTAATTTGGTGAACACATGAGTCAGGCTCCATCAATGAGCTGCGTGAAGCTCCAATTATGGAATACTTTTGTACGCCCAATGATAAAACTTGCGTGAACATTTGAAATTTCTTCAGCTCTTCCAGAGTAAATTTCTTTTTTTTATTCCGATTTGCAAGAACATGCCTTCTATGTCCGACGAAAATGCAATAGGATGTTCTCTGAAGCACAGCAAGAGCCCGAAAATATTGTTAAGGAGGCCAGGACGTGACTCAAGGCATGAGTTTAATGACAAACCTTTTAACTTTGAAGAAGCTATGTCAACTCGTCTTACCTTCCCAGATTTATTCGGGTTGGTAACCAGATAATGAGGAAGGTACCAGATGTTTGCAGGCACATGGTTGTGGGGACATGGTTACCGGTTTCCATTGATTATCAATATCAGTGGTTAGCGATTATGTAGCTGCACGGTTGAAAGACATTGTCGGAGAAAAAACAGAGGAGCCGAGCTGAGGGACTGCTGATTCAGAGCGAAGACCAGAGTCCAAATTTTTTCAACTAAATCACTTAACTTGGAATGAATCTGTGATATTGGTATTTGCATAAAATATACGTTCAAATCAATTATTTGCGTTAGAACGCATTGTTGCTTGTCAGTGTCAGCTGTTGCCGTGCACATGTACGAACAACTGCTGCAAGTGACCAACATTGCGTACATCTGATTAGTTTGTTTTCAATAAATACAGTTACCAGCCTAATCAACAGTTGATTCTTAATATGGCAGTGCTTCTAGAACCAACGTATAATCACTTAGTGGGGTTGGAACAACATAGGAATTAACACTGACGTTTTTTGATTGTTGATGATTTGGAGTTTTATCTGCAACTTGCTTTGGTCGCTGCAGATTGGAGTGGTCTTTTCTGCCACAATTAACGAGACTGCGCATTGCTTTTCAGATTTAGTCATTCAGCTTGTGATTATACAAACAGTTGGATCAGAGTCGGATGTTGCTTGACCTGTTCATTTCTTCTCTTAGCTGAGAGTTTGAAAAGATAATTGGCAACGACCCAAACAGTTGTTTTGTTGATCCAGCGGGCAAAAAAATTGAGTCGAGTTAATTTTCTGTAGATATGAGTTGAAAGGTTTTATTTCCTTTCTGAAATTCCGATCCTGGTTGTTTTTGAGCTATCTTTAAATTTTGATGCTCCTGTATATGGTTTTTCAGGCTGCAACTCCAGGTTTTTTGCAAGCTTTTGCTTAATTGTTCTGCCAATCAGAGAAAATGACCAAGGCATGAAGGATACAAACTCTTCTCATTTGATAAGAGAAGCGTGGAAAAGTTTGTTCTGAGCTATCCGTGAGATGTTGCTCGATGCAAATTCTGCTAATAGTTGTTCGCTTGGAATTGTGTACAAGCTTATGCACAATAATTAGTCAATTTACGAAAATTTTTCAGGAGGCTGAACCATATATCTGAGTTTCCAAGACAATTCAAGTTGAAAGTAAGGCTCTGGAAAATTAAAACACCTAACTAGACGAAGCTGGTAGCGCAAGAAAAATTAAATTTGCAAGATCCTGCATGTACAAACAAACCTATATAGGTCGCAAAACAAGATGGTTCATCCGTACAAAACAACTTTTTATTTTGACCATTATGTGAACGAAAGGGAAGAAAATCACC